CCAGTACAATATTATACACTAAATATTTGATGTTGTAAAATGTTGTGAACAGAGTTCCCTCTGTGATCTTGGGTTGGAAATTTTTATTTTCCTCCCATTCCCTGCCCTGATAAATAAGACGAGAGAACTACGGCTCTTTTACTCTGAAGGCTTCCAAGCGCGTTGCCGTGGAGTTTAATTGGTCTGAGTTATGTGGTAAATCCCAGCAATGTGTCTTTCTTTGTGGAGACGCTGAAACACTCCATCTCCATTACACCAAACACAAGCCTGTAAGAAACAGCAGGTGGTGTGTGTGCGCGTGTGTGCGTGTGTTTGTATGTTTTCATGCTGCCTCCTTATGTGACCCCGAGGCCACCGGCCCTAAAGCCAAACTTTTGTCCCTTCAAAGTCCTAAGTGACCCCGTTCCAGCCCCCTCTACACACACACACACACACACACACACACACACACACACACACACACACACACACACACACACACACACCCTCCTGTGGTCTGGTTGGTTTATTTTCCCTCATCATAGGTAGGAGCATATGTAGAGGCTGTTAGTATAGTATTTTGTGACGTGTGTGTGTGTGTGTGTGGGTGTGTGTGTGTGTGTGTGTGTGTGGCTGACACCAGCTGGACTGCCTCTTGGTCTCCCTGTGTCCAGCCCTCAGGCCTTGTTAAGGGGCCGGTATAATCCCTGATCATCGGCTCCGTGTTTATCCAGTGGGCTGAAAGAAGGCCTGCTGCATCTCCTGACGTTTCACTCAGGGTTGATTTTATCATCAGGTGTTTGTTCTTAGTGACTGTATGAGGTGTTAGACAGCTGGAGAATCATTTGTATCAAAGTATATTCATATCTAAAAATGGCCCAGTCAAAGTCCAGCCCTGCATCTCTTTGGGAATCTGTGTCGAACCACAAAATTGAGATCTACAGATGCTAATGGAGACACTGCAGCAAAAGACAGAGGGGCTCAACAATTTGTTGCTTTTCCTTCCATTTCAGAGTTATGCTCTACTTTGTGTTGGCCCAACACGTACAACCCCAATGCAATATATTAAAGTTTGTGGTTGTAGCTGTGATGTATGTAAACATCGGCTGGGATGTCGCATCAGTTCTGGGACTGTAAATCCAATTTGTCGGTGAGAGGAAGATCAAAGTTCTTCCTCACAAGACAACATCGGTATAAATCTTAAAGACGTAGGCTTTGTGTGGCCGGGAGGGAAAACGCAAAGAGACGGCCAGCCAGCGGGCTAGAAAATTTGTTAGCGAGAACTCACTATGCTGAAGTAAGTGTAAAGAAGTTGGGATTGACATTTTGTTCAACTTCACCTGTTAGAAAACATTTCCATTCAGAACTATTGAATTTAGTAAAGGTTAAAACTTGAATTGCCTACATAATGTTCGACGTCATTACACAGTCTAAAGGTTTCATATATAAATAGGCGAAATATTTTTCAAATCTCTTTGGCGCAGACATAGACAAACAAATTTGGAGTTGAGGTGACGCAGAAAAACAATACCAGGTATTTTTTTCCCCCATCTGCCTCATCGCCATGTTGGAAGGACAGACTTTGTGCAGGTCAAGGGGAAGCTGCTTTTATTTATCCAGCGTAAACAGCAGCTAGCTCCGCGCTGGCCTGGTAAGGTGCAGGCAGGCGGCTGAGAGCGGGACACCTGTTCATCCTGCGACTACAAGCAGATGGTCCACATGGCTCCGGCTCCCCAAGGGGAAAACCTGTCAGCTGAGCCCCAATTAGGGAGTCCGAGTCAGAGAAGAGCTGGGGGTGGAGATGGTGGTGGACGCGAGGCTCCGCAGGAAATTACCCTGATTGGGAAATGATGTGAGAAAGACGTGGATTTAGAGAAACGTTTTGGTTTGGTGTTGATTTTCTCTTTCAGTTTTATGTGTGCACCTGACTCCACTCGCTGGTTTCAGAACACCTCAGGTGTTTCCATTGAGCCATTGATGTGGCTTGAAATCATTGAAAGAAATGCAAGCGAGCGTGCCAGAGAGTTGCTGGACTTTTCTTTCGAGAAACAAATTCTCTGGACCAAAACAAACAAAAAAATATTCAACCACCGTGACCTGGAAAGTAAAGAAGTTCTACTGAGTTAAATTTTATTAAAGCAACTTTAGTAACTAAAGTAACTTTAATTTCTTTTTTTTTTTTAGTTTAGTTTTTACATATTTCTTAAAACTAACTATGTTGTGAGATTATAAGACAGATAATTTACGTCCATCAGAAGCAACCAATCAGAGCTAGGACGAGGGTCTTAGCGCTGTCAATCATCCTCGTGTACACAAGCTCCCCCTTTCTCTGCTAAGTTACAGCTGGTTCAGCTCAGCCTAGGTAGCATAGCCACCGACGAATAAACAGCTGTTGTGTAACGGTAAGTTGTTTCGTTGCTGTTAGCACATTTAGCAGCGCACACACCAGCATCACTGACACGGCTATGGCCCTCCTCCGAGCTCTGATTGGTTGTTTGTGACAGAGAGTGAAGCATTTCTGCAGCGTTCATTTGAATACCAAGCAAACAAACTTAATGAAAGCCTAAATATTGTGTCCATAAATAAATGTGTAAATTTAACAAACATTTGTAAATTTGCACCTTATTCTCTTGTCAGTTATACCCAGCTCATCGCCGTGCTGCAGCTGTGTTTAAGGCAGAAGCAGGTCGAGCCACTTGATGCAGTTAACAGATTTGCATAGTAAACAGATTTGCATAGTAAACCTTCTGGCATTTACCGTGAAAACTTTTGAGTGCTCCGCCACAAAGAAAAAGAAAACAGTAATAATAACCTGTAACCTGGCCCTACATGTGACTGATTTGCATAACCCGGGCTTCCCAGGCAGGAAACACTTGGCAGAGCTGAAAGTTGCCCCACAACAATACAGTTTCAGAACGCAGAGACAATAACAGACTGGCAAGTGAGGAAAACGTCAACGGGGAAGTGAAAAATGCTGAGCAGCTTGTAGGTGGTGTTGGTGCGACCATTTTGTTCAAATGGAAGAGGTGGAGCAGATCGAAGGGAAAGGAGTAAAATAACTGGGAAGCAATGAAAGAAATATGTTGAGTTTAAGGTTAAACCTGATTACTGTTGATGTAGTAAAAACTGTTTTCTATAGAACGTATTATTGACTTAACTGGGCATGTCTGTAAGCACTTCACCCCGAGGCATGTCTTTTTTTTTTTTTTAGATATTTGTTACACTAGTCATGTTGTGACAGTGTGATTTGAGACAGATAATCATAAAAAATACTAATAATTGAGCTCCTCTTCCTTCTCCCAGTGCAAACTGGAAACTAGAGGCGGGTCATAGCGTTGTCCGATACATCATGTACAAGCTGCTCACAATGTGTCAGTTTATCAAATACATAAAAAGGTTTATTACATACTGCAGCTTTAAGAAGACAAAAATGACATCTTAAATTCAATATTACATGAGACCGATGATGCAGAAATAAATGGTCATCTGGAACCAACATACAATGTGAAATAGAATAACTTTGACATTAAATTAAAGTTATTTCTTTTTTAGGCTCGCTGTGCTTGCTAAAATGACGGGGAAAAAATTGTTATCATACAATTATTTTTAAAAGTATATTTCATAAAAATTGTCTTCTTAGTTAATTTGTAAAAACATTTTCAGTGTTAATTTTCTTCCAATGTTGACATGTAACCTGTATGTCAAAAACTGAGAGCAAAGATAGTCAGACATCAAAACTGGTTTAACTTGACAGATTAAAGGTGCAATGTGGAGAATAGCCTGACATCTAGTGGTGAAGCTGAATACTGCAACCAAAGCAAAAAAAATCAATGTTCGAGGAGCATTGATGTATTGGGAACATAGACAATGAAAATATGGTTGACGCTTTAGTCCAATCTGACTATTTCTTTTCTAAAATTGATAGCATATTTTCTTTTTCTTTAGCAAGCTGTACACATTTTATGCATAAATAACTTTTTCCCTTTCAATACTTTTTCCATTTTCTTCCATTGGACGCAGACTCACATCCTAGCATCTAATCTGGAATCAAACACCACATTTAGTATAATTTGCGTCATTATCCGAGTCGACCCCGTCCCACAGACAAAGGAGTTGAAGGCAGCAGCCGTCCTCACTGGACCAGGTGTTCCACAGAGCTCTGAGCTGGGTCCTCAGTATTTTGTTTTTCAACTCATGCTTTCTGCTGTGTACACGCGTCTTTGATGCCTCTAAATAAGGTGCATCTCTGTGCAGCTGCCCGCTGAGGGCTCTCCATTTCACCCCCTCCCCAGCATTGTCAACTCACCCCCTCTAGTCCATTCATGGGTTCAGCCGGCGGTGTGTGTGTGTGTGTGTGTGTGTGTGTGTGTGTGTGTGTGTGTGTGTGTGTGTGTGTGTGTGTGTGTGTGTGTGTGTGTGTGTTTTAGCATTTTTCACCATGTAAGACCCATTTTTCCAAAAACATACTACATTGTATGTTTTGGAAATACAACAAGAAGTGCAGTTTTTGGGTTAAGGGTTAGGTTTAGGACTAAGGTTTCAATTGAGTTTTAGGGTTAGGCCTGTACTGGTAATGGTTTGGTTTAATATAATGGGCTGTAGAGATGAATGGTAGTCAATGCAAAGTCCCTGTGATGATAGAAAGACATGGTGTGTGTGTCTGTGTGTGTGTGTGTGAGGTTAAAAAAGGAGAGAGCCGAAAAGGGGTGGAGCTATTTTACCATATCTTAGTGGTCTCTTTTTATTGGTAGATGGACGGGGGATGTTTGGAGAGTGTTGAGAGGAAGCTTTGCTCAAGTCTTGGAGTGAGAGATGTTAGCTAGTTGTCAGATAAGCTGTCGTGGTTTGGGGAGACGGAGCAGCCTCAGTGCAGGGAGGGGACGGTAGATGAGTTACACTCCATCTGTTGTCAGTCACATTGATGAACCTGCCACTTCAGGACATTTTGCACTGAGTTTCCTGATCAAAAAAAGGAGAATGAAACAGGTTGATCTCAGCTTCATTTTCTCAGGTGGATCCCATTGCACTTTTCTCTTTTAAAAAAAAAAAAGAAGGAAATTGCCAATAACTTTGCATACTGGGCTTATTTCGCCACTATCAATACTGGGAAGTCCCCTTCTTTAGACTGTCAGCCTTGCTCCTGAATTGACCAAAGGTTGCGTTTCGTGACAGAACTTTTCTCCAGTTTGGTTTTGGATCTTAGTGGTAAGTTTGTTTCTCCGATTTTCTTTTGGCTTGACTTTATGCACGTTTTTTGCATGATTTGTTGCAGGTTGCAGCATTTTAATCAATGCACACAAACTGAAACCTCCCTATATTACCAATGCCTTCCACTCCGTGTCACAAATGTGTGTCTATGTATTGCAACACGCTGTTGTGTTGCACCCTATTTTCTATTATTCAATAGACCTTGAAATTGTTGAGAGACACACAGTTTGCTGAACTTAACATTTAAATAAAAACTTATTTGTGGGAGTCTAAACTAGACTTTGTACAATTAAAGTACATAAAAATTGGTAAGAGTTGTATTTAGCTGTGTATTTTATTTCTTTTTGATAGTTTTACTGCAGTTGCACGGTTTTCACAGGACTTTATGTGGGAGAAAATCAGTTTCTGCTCTAAACCTGAAATGAGTTTTTTCTCTACTGTCACATTCTACTTTAAGGTAATTTAATGTTGTTGTCACTCATAATAAATTTTGTTAAATATTGTCACCTTCCTAAAAAGTCAAGTCATTATTTTTTTGCCTCTTAAATCAAATGATTTAGAATGTTTAGAGAAAGAAAAAATGTTGCCAAAAGTGTTTTTTAGGCTAATCTGATTACTTATGGGATTTTTTAATTTTTACCTTAATCAGATGTGGGGTTCACTTTTGAGGATGTCCCATTAGGAAGGTGACAATATCACACACACATTTTGTAAAACTTATTTTAAGCAAGGAAAACTAAACGTCCAAATTTTATGCAGCATCTGTGATTCTGGTTTGAGTTAGAAGTGTAGAGGCAATCTCAGTCAGCAAAACTTCAGGATTTACCCCAACCCCTCCCCACACACCCACCCCGCTCAGAGGCAACAGAACAGACAGACAGTGGTGATATTTATCATGGAAGATGAATCTGCGCACCACCAGTTGCGGGAAAGAAGCAAAGGTGGGTAGAAAAGAAGAAGGAGGAGGATGCTTTTAGGGAGGTCCCTTGTGGCTTCAGTAGGCATCTGTTCCCCCAGCTCCAGCCCGTATACCCCCTCTCTCTTGCCCCCCTGGTCCCTCCATCCAGCCGGTCGCTGACGTGACGGACCGGCTCACGGCCGGGCTTAGCCGGCAAATGGCAGCCGGGCGGCGCTGGGCCCTGAGGGAGCGGTCAGGGTCTGATCTCAGGGGAGCTCATCCACCCCACAAACCCCCCTGGGGAGGCCTAACCCCGGACCAGCGCAGACACAGAGCAGCATGCAGGGCACCGGCAGCGCAGGCAGGGTGGAGGCTGCTGCATCTGCTCACTGTGGAGAAACTTAAGAGAATTTGATCAGAAAAGCTACGTTTTCTGTATTGTCACTTTCCTAAAGTAAAGGCCTAGAAGTGATTTTGGTCAAATAAATAAATTACCACTTCTTTTGGTTAAATAAAAATAGGCTATTATTTTAGGAAGGTGATGATATGATGTTTGTGTTGTAATGTTTTATTTCAGATCTTCATTCATGTCCTATTGGGGACATGAATTAACATGCTAATAATAATTAGCTTAATAATTAGCTAGTTAGTGTGACTGCATTCCACTGCTTCAAGTAATCAAGGTTAAAACAAACAAAAGATGAACAATAAGAAATAAATACATATTAAAAAAACAATTAAATTCCTTAATAAGAAAAGCGATTATCAGGTATCATCATCATAACATAAATGTTCTTGATTATGATGTTGAGCAAGGATTTTTTAAATCAGAATCTTTGAAGGTTCCAGAAGTTCATTCTGCTCAACTAATAAAAACATGCAGTAATTTTGACTCAAATCCATTAATATAATGCAACACAACACAGTTCTGCTAGATTTTTTATTTGTCAGACGTTGACAGCTCAGCACAGAAAGGTTGACATTTTAGGTCTGTTATGAAAATGAGAACCAGATTAAATAAGGAAAGTTACTAATTTGAGAGTCCAATTTTGTTCAAGACAAAATTATACCATCAAATTTCCTATATCTAAATAATAGTCCATTTAGTGAACAACAGGCGTTCACTAAAGCCTGCTCTTTTGGAGCTTTAGCAACATGTGAATCAAAACGTTGTCTTTACATATATGTACAAAATTTAATGTAAAAATAAAATAATTATTAATTTCCAGAATTTCTAAATTTAGGAGCCATAAGAGTCGTTTGTTGTCTTGGTTGTGTTAGTCAACACGTTCACAGTCACAGCAGTTTTTTCGTCTTTTTCTCAGCTTTCATTTTTGCTGACTCCTCAAAGATCTTATCTGCAGCTGATGCATCACCAGCTGTGTTTTGCAAGTATTTGTGTTTGTGTGTGTGTGTTTTTTCTTTTTTTTTTTGGGTGGAGGGTGGTTGGGGGTGATCAGGTTTAAAGCCCGCCTCCCCCCACCGCCACCTCCGTCTGTGCATGCTGCTCCGGCCCGAGAGAACAATAGTGCCGTCACAGGGGGACAGATTGGGTGGCAGCTGCATTGTTAAAGGACAGCAAGCCAGACACACTTCTCCCCCCCGCCCCACCCAACACACACAGGCTCACTCTCGCTCCTTCCCTTTGTACTCCTTTTGTTGTCGGCGGTCTAAATTATTCCGGCTCTCTTGTGGCATTCAGGATGACAAACAGCGCCACGGCAGATTAGACGTCGGGGTCGAGACACGAGGAGGCCCCTGCTTTCCGGTGCCTTAGTCTGCAATTTTAGGTATTACTCATTAGGGCTCAAATGGAACCACAGGCACGCTTTCTGATCTTTTGAACTGGCTCGTATCGGTTGGCGGGCAGACAAAATGTGATATATATGTGTTTATATGACTCATGGCAAAAAGCAAAAAAGAGATAGTTTTGATTTTCTCTTTTTTTTTCTTTAAACTGAGACTCTTCACTGCTGTCGGGTTTGTTGCCGAGTGCTTAACCACACAACTTCCAACCAGAAGCTGCGTTCGCTGAGGCTGATCAGTGTCTGTCTGATCAACTACAGAACCAGGAAAAACACAGAAAATGGCAGCAAACGCTCTCATTCAAAAATGGAAACATTTCATATTTGTAAATATGACCCTGCATGTCAGGTTTTGTACTGATGATAAACTTAGTAAAACTGATGGTATGTCTTTCAGGAACTACTTTGTGCAAACATGGCTTTGTATTGACAAAGCCAGAGATTTGACCAAGTTCAGTTTGAAAGCGTGGCGCATTCAGTTCGCACTTTGATGCAAGAATTCCCACGGTCTCAGTCGGAAAACCAAAAAGAATAATTTATAGAGTCAGATTTGAAAACCTGGAGATCTTCAAGGAGCCCCGAGTTCAAATTCCAAGATGGCCGTTTGACGTATAACATGGTGGTTAATAAAAAAGTTGCAGGTTTATAATCCGTTTCTTGAAACTTCTCAAGCTTTTTCTCAAGAAACTAGTTTCAAATATAATCTGTGAAACTGAAATTGTGAAAAATAAAATAATTATTGCTTTGATAAAAGACATAGTTTTATTATGGTGCATTTTATTTATATTTGGTTGTAAAAATTTGTTACTTCATAGTTAGAAATACAACAGGAATATCACCTGAAGTCAAAATTCCCACATGGGTCTTCGACTCCCATAACCAATATGTTGCAGATATAAACTATTTTTTGACACTGGTCAATGAATCGAAACCCGTAGAAAGAAATACATAGTGGCGTAAGATTATGTGTTATTTCAGAATAAATAAAAATGGTGCAAACTCTCGTATTAGCTTGCATAGCTACTTGCTCAGCTCCTTTCTGCTCCTTCACAATTCACCGTCGAAGCTTCAGAGGAAGTGTGGTAGTTTTCTGAAAATGAACTCGAGCTGCTCCACGTTCTGAAAAGCAGGTCAGGTACGGCTGAACCTCCTCGGGAGGAAAACTGATTTATTGCCTGTGAATACCACCAGATTTGTTTTCTCAACCTTGAGCAAAATGACTAAAATGCAATTTGCAGTCTAAATTTTCACTTCTTGCGGTATTTTCAAGTCGTTTATCAGTCCTACTTTAATTTTTTTTATTTATTTTGCTTTGTCAGCCACCTCTCGTCTCTTCAGTCTCGAGCACATCCGCGAGCGTCTGATACAATCAGAGAAATTTTAAGACAAACCACTGCGATGGTTCGGAAGTACCCTATAAACTCAAGGGTATTTCCAAACAGCAGCAAAAACCTACGCAGCAAACAGGCTTTTTGTTGGTATAAAAAGCGACAGAAAGAAGAAAAAAAAAGGGGGCCACAGTCAAAATAGGCGCAGTTATCGAATGACTCGTCTGCAACCGTCAGCTTCTTTGTGACTGAATCACGACCAACAGACGCAGGTTTGTTAAGCGTGGAGCGAATAAAAGGCTGACCCAAATCCAGGGAATTATAGTAACAGAAAGAGCCATTATTTAAATCCTTAAGGATTTTTTTTTTAAATATGTGGTCTGGACACATGCGAACAAAACACTGTGCTACTTTTTTCCCCAGAGTGCTACAAAGTAGTTCAACAAAGCGGTTGGCTCAAAAAGCAGTTCATAAAACATCCTCTTGTCTTACTATCAGGATAACTCTTGGAGTCCTTGCATTTCTTCACTAACTTATCAAATCATAACTCAGAAAAATCTTTTATTTATGTCAACTTCTTCTTTTCTGCTACTTTGTCATTGCCTGTGTCCCACGTTGGAGGAACGCAGTGAAATAAACTACAATATCAAGATGGAAGTTGCTCAAACTAACATTTACATATGTTGTTGCTTATTAAGAAACCAAAATCACAATTATCGTGACGTGTTGGAGACAAACGGGGGAATCGGGGGATTTTTAGTGAAATCCAACATGCGACGGACAACAGTCTGGAGTTTTATGCAAAGCCACCTTTTGGGTTGACAGAGAATTGTTTGAAAAGAAGAAAACAGTCGATGAGGGACAACCAGAGCAGGATGTGGAGAAACGCTGGATATCAAGTGGCCCAAATAACCACAGGGCATCAGGACAACCGACTCTGAGCGCACAGCCTGTCCAAGCATAAAGCAGTTGGTCTGCAGTCACAGATTAAAGAGACGTTCTTCTGAAGTTTTGGGCCTTATAACAAACCTACGAGTTGCGGTTTTGATTTCAGTCAGATGCAGCTCAACCCTTCGGCTGCTCTGTGGTCTGGATACATTTCAGATTTAAGAATTGAAATGTGAAGCGACGAAGGTGTGCTCAGTTTATTGAGTTAAAGATGAAAACTTGAGCCTGGGCTTTGACACATCAAAGAAACAAATGCTTGAGCCAAATTTGCCGTGGGCTTTTTTTTTTTTTTTTTAATTACTTGCATCACTGACACACATTTGACTTTAGTTCAAAGGTCGATCTTTCTGTCTGGTGGTTTCACTTGTCGACACAGAACATTACTTCATGTCCTTTATGAAAACGAGAACAAGCTGTGACTTAAAGTTGTTTTTGTTTTTTGCTTTCAGAGAAACTATTTGAATAATTTGGAGGTGGAAGATAAATTTTCATGTTTTTTCTTTTTTTCTAATCCTTACAGTGGAGGAGTTTGGTATCGTTACTTTTAATTTCGCTATGTGACTTCATAGTTTTCTACTTAATCGTTCCCAATGATGCCTGAAAAAAATAGTTAGAAAATTACATCTACAGGTTCAGACTGGTTTATTATCATAATTACTAACCTGTCTGTGTTTGTGACACAGGTCTTCAGGAACCCAAAGGGATCAAACAAATCCTTCTTGAAGAACGTCTCATGCTCCCTGCGCTGATTTGACTTCAGATTAAGTTTCCGTTGCCATGTTAGTTTTATACGCCGTCTGAGTTTACGCTGACTTCTTGTTATGACCGGCAGATTACATTTTGTGCTAATCTGTTTGCTTTGGTAGCAGAGCTCATCAGTACAAATTTGACAATGATAAAGAAGATTTAACAGCCAGTAAATGATCACCTGGAATGTTTGCCCTCCTTTTCATTGCAGTTTAAACATGCACAGTTTGCTTTTGCAAGATAGTGTCACACATTCCTGCATTTTCTTTAAAACTAACTGACAATTTGTTTTGTTCCTCCTTGCTTCCCCTGCAGGGCCTGACTGTGAGCAGCTAGATACCAGACACTGGTGTGGACTCGATCCGGTGGCTGGGAGCTCACAGAGGAAGAGGAGCTGGATGTATGAAGAGGCTTCATGGGCCTGAAGGACCATCTGGAGGATGGAACTGGCCACATGCTCAGCCTGGGGCTGGATCTGGACTATCTCCATGTGGATGGTGCTGAGAAGCAGACGCCAACAAACACACTGAAGGCCTCTGACGTCTTGCAGGTCCGAGGCGGCGCCCAAACCCGGAGCGGCTACAGCATCGGCGGGAGCACAAACAGCCTCAGCACAAATCTGAGTTACAGCAGCAGCAGCAGCAGCAATTTTTCAGAGGAGAGCGCCATTTCCGACAATGAGGAAGAGCAGCATCAGGTTGGCTCCGACTCCGGACTCGACATCTCCCACCGAGATCAGCTGGGCTTACCTCGGAGCGCCTCTCTGCAGTGGAAGCAGGTCAGGCTGGACCTGGCGCCACACCTGTCCACAGGAGATCTAACGCGGTCGAAAGAGCTAGCGCCTGCGGGCCTCGCTTCGGACTGCCGCGCCAAGGTCGAGTTCGCTCTGAAGCTGGGCTACGCTGAGGATCTGGTGCTGCTGGTCCTGAGGAAGCTGGGCCCAGACGCACTTATCAACGACATGCTGGGAGAGCTGGTCAAGCTGGGGACAAAGACGGAGATGGAGCAGCAGAAAGGTCCAGCTGTGTCCCAGTCTCCTTCCTCCTCTTTGTCTTCTTTGGCCTCCAGCTCGTCCCTGGAGTCCTGCCGGCTGCCGTCCCCTTCGCCCCTGCTGGAAGACAAAGACAATTTTCGGCCCGTCGTCGTAGACGGCAGCAACGTAGCCATGAGGTGAGGAGCAAAGCTCTTCTTTCTCCGCAAACAGAGGACAGCAGAACAGATTCATTTCAAAAAGGCGATGATCAGGTTTTTTCATAATAGGAGAACCTACTGAATTTTGACATTGGCAAACACTTTTGACATTTTTTTAGGGTTGTGATGTGATCTTAAATCTACATATTTGGATATATTTTCTGATCCGAAATCTTTTACCAAAAGGTGTAGCGCTTCTAGCAGGCTATTTTAAACACTGAATCTACTTTAATATGCATTAATATGCACAGTGGACGACCACAGAAGCTAACATCTACACGACTCTCTGTTGTTGGAGGCTTAGCCAATCAGGAGCAAGGAAAATTAACGGCGCCGATGTTGCGTCAAGCAGCATTAGATTTTTCTTGAATGCTGTCCACTCTAGAAACTTGGCAGAAAAACATTGACAAGAGAAGTAAAACCAAACAGCATAAGGCAGAGGTTCCACCAAATTATCCCCACAAAGGCAAGAAAATAAAAATGATACAAAAAATCTTCTAGATCTTTAGCATAACACTGATTGCAGCAGGAGTATCTTTTTGTATTTTCTAGTCTGTAAAGATTCATAGCTTAAGTCAATGTCTTCCAAGATGGCTGCTAGCATTTCCAAAAACATGCGTCCTCCAAGACACACTGAGCTAAAATGTGCTCAAAAATGTAAAACCAGGTATTTTCCTCTTCTTGTTTTATGACTGTTTATATATTTGCTTTGATTGGAAGAAAACCTGACAGTTTTTTTAGGGTTGTTGATTTTCTCAGCTCTGAAAGTGGACCAAACAAGATCACAGAGTTGAACAGCCGTTTGTCAGCAGTGCTGTCAGGATGAGCAACAGGTGAAGCAGCAAGTTGTTCTGCATGCATGAGAGGAATCCTGCAGAAAATAGAGCAGAGAGGGAGAGCGCATGGCGTCCTGCTGGGGTCACAGAGACACCGAGCCATGGCGTTAGAAGGATTTCAAGCTTTGACATCAGAGATATATTCAGAAATAATGCATTTGTATATGTATTGTATTTCTTTCTGTCTTTAGTTTGCTTGATAATACAGTTGCTAGTGAACTAAGGAAGACTCATTTTTCCAGATGTACTGGAGTTTGTTTGAGTTCAGATTTGCTTTCACACCTGATAAACATATCAGGAAACAAAATCTGGAATGTTTAAAGCAAACCAAACAGCTCTGGTTGGTCTTTTGGGACATGAATGCAAGACTTGAGATTCTTGTCATCTTATTCTCCTCTTGATGATGCATGCTGAGTTTTCAACAGGAGACTGACTTTGACAACAGAAACATCAGTCACACCTTTAAGACAACCTGGATAGTCAATTTTCAACCTTGGCAAATTATATCAGTCTTACTGAAAAGCAAGCAGAAAACATTTTTGCGTGCAAGTGGTGGGAGGTCAGCGTTCCTTCATACAACGGGAACATTCTTTAAGATTCCGATGCACATTCAGTTTCCATGATTCTTTTTTACAATAACCGTTTTTGATGTGTTTTTTGCCAAAATTTCCCTATGCCGTGTAAGCTAGTTGAAGTGATGGATGAAGCAAAATTTACCATAGGACTAATCAACCACTTATTGTCTGTATGTGTTTAATGTTTTTCTTTCAGGACAATAGGTTCAGGGAATTTCCTGGTGTTTAGACTCCAGATGGCTGATGTTTCAGTTTCAATAGTTTCATACACAGCCAATTGCAGTGGAGAAACAACCAATTTTCAATTCACTCCTGAGGCACTGTTCCTGTGTTAATCACAACTGCATTGTGGGAGAGGTAAAATGTCAGTGACTGATTGCTAGTTATGCTAAACTGAAAAGACTGAAGTTCAGTCTTTTCAGACCTTCTGTCATGGTAAAATGTAATCTTCCAGTTTAATAGTTTATTATACGCAGACATGGCTGAAAGTCAGCTGAACTGTCAAACTGTAGAGTGACAACAACTAAATAAACCTTTTATCTCTTTCTGCCAATGCAGTCATGGAAATAAGGAAGTGTTCTCGTGCCAAGGGATCCAGCTGGCTGTTGATTGGTTCTTGGATCGAGGTCACCGTGACATCACGGTCTTTGTCCCCGCCTGGAGAAAGGAGCAGTCGCGACCTGATGCTCTCATCACCGGTAACGACAACCCCCGCTTTGAAGGCACAGTGCATGTGCCTTCACTGCTGGAGGGAAACTTCACCCTCCATGAGACAAAGGCAAGTGCTCACCAACGTCTTCCTCTACCACTTTGTCCTCCGTTCTCTTTTTGTAGATCAGGAGATCCTGAGGCGACTAGAGAAAGACAAGATACTGGTTTTCACTCCATCTCGGCGTGTGCAGGGGCGACGTGTGGTTTGCTATGATGACAGATTCATCATCAAACTGGCATACGAATCCGATGGCATAATCGTGTCCAATGACAACTACAGAGACCTGGCCAACGAGAAGCCAGAGTGGAAGAAGTTCATTGATGAGCGCCTGCTGATGTACTCCTTTGTCAATGACAAGTAAGCATCTATTGGCAAATCCTGTCAGTGAAACCAACAAAAACAACATGTGGGACGTTCCTTGGATAAAGTTTCCATGTCAGCAGGAATAGTGAGGGCTATTAAACTGACGGGATGGCAAGAGGAACTTGTTCACAACAGAGTGCACTCAACTTTTGGATAATGAGATTTTGATTCTTTTGATTGCAAAACAAAAAAGGTGTTTGAACTATTTTAACTTCAATCTAATTTCATGAATTGTGCAACTAGATTCATGCCTCCAGATGATCCTCTTGGACGCCATGGACCAAGCCTGGAAAACTTCCTGAGGAAAAGGCCTATTGCCCCTGAACCCAGGAAGCAGCCCTGTCCTTATGGTATTGTATATACATATATGTGGATTTCATATTTTGTTTTGTTTGTTTGTTATTTTTGTCATCAGACTGTTGGTCAGATGTTTGGTCCACTTCTAGAATTGAACTGAGAAAGTCAACAACCCCCCAAAAAAGTTGCCAGGTCTTGTAGCATTTCTCTTGCAATCAAAGCAAACAGCCGTGACTTTCATAGATGGTATGTTAAAATACCACAAACTGTTTTAAAAAAATGACCAAATAAAAAGCTAAATTATGCAAGGGGAAATGTTGAAAAATAGAAGAATGCAATAACCTAAAGTCTCGAAGGTGGACGGCTTTAAACTAATACTTTGTTGATTAGACGCCGACATTCAGGCCTTTTATTTGCGCCTTTGTATGCTGGTGATTAACGCAGAGTGTGGAGAGAGGTTACAAAGGGTAAAAAGAATTTTATTGTTCAAAGGTATCAATCAGGGGAATGATGCAAGAAGATTCCTAGCATTCCAGATACGCTAGGAAGGGAGCCGTGAAGAAAGTCCACACTTACTGGGTCAAAACAAAAATAGGAAGTGATTTTCCCTTATTGATCAAAAAGAAGGGATTAAAATGGCCAGTCAGAAACGTGGCCAGTCAGAAACGTGGCCGTAACATTACAAGAGCTGCAGCAACAACAAATACTTTTGATGCATGTTAACAAGAAGCACTGATACTTTTCAGATTCTAGTAAACTAATGAGGAAAATATATCTATTCTTTGTTCCCCAGGGAAGAAATGCACATATGGCCACAAGTGTAAATTTTACCACCCAGAAAGAGGCAGTCAGCCCCAGCGCTCGGTGGCCGATGAGCTCCGTGCCAGTGCCAGGATTTCGTCTGTATCTTCCAGAGGCCTGCTGGGACATACAAAGATGGTGAAGAGCCAAAGTAGCAGTCAACCAGAAGAGACGCCTGAAGCCGAACCGGGACAGGGCAGTAAACTACCAAACCAGAGTCCTCGGAGTGCGCCCTCTGACCTCGCTGAGGACAGACTCCAAAGTTATTCCAAACCAGAAGCGTACAAGGGAAGCCACGTCAACAGGGGACATACTTCATCAGGGTTGACTTTCTCATTAGGACATCTGGACAGCTGTGCGCAACTCAAGGAGAGCAGTGGAGCCTGCAGTTTGGGTTTAGTAGAAAGTTACAACAGATGTGATTCTCCGGAGGTGGGCTGCAGGTCTCTGGTAAAGGCCTATTCAAGCCTCTGTCTTGTGGTGCCACAGACCACAGAAAGTCTCTTAACTGCTGATCTGCAAGCAGGTTCTCTGCCATCCGAATGCAGCATCGATGGCAGCATTAGCTCAGATTCTTTTTCCCCCGACTCTATGTCAGACAACAGCCCCGAGTGCCAACATCACCTTCCTCACTACCATCATCACTATAGTGGCTCGTATGGTTATGTGGCAAGCCGGGTTTCCCCGGGGATGGGCCAGCATTCCCCTTATGGCTACTCTGTTACTCAAAGACCACAGAGAGCTCAGGGGTCTGTCTCTGAGGAACTTCCTTGTTCAGTTAGCTCTCACGCATCTCCACACCATCGCAAGACCCCTTCGGCAAACATCGTACCACAGCATCAGCATCTACTGTTAGGCAACTATCCGGGGGAACAACCACCTCATCTACCTCAAACATCTGCTGCTCGTCCTGATTCCCAGAACTCGCCCTTCAGTCCAAACACGTTGACTTCGTGGGAAGGTGACCTCCAGGACCCCACAATGTACAAAGGATCACCAGTTAATTGTAGAAGAAACTACTCAGGGTCAACCCAACACCCTCAGCATAAGACGCACTGGGATTCCCACCACGAGGCATCAACCAGGCCCTGCTATGATCTGTTCTCCTATAAAAGCTTTCCCCCACTTCACGGTAAAGGTTGGCACACCCCCTGGGGTCAGCAACTCCCATCGTCCCCCCACGGTCCATCAGCTTCAAGCGTCCCACCGGCCCCACAGCAGTCCCTCAGGTCCATCGCCACTCACAGGAGCCACCTGCAGAACGAGTGCCACTACTCAGGGCATCTTTCCTCGGGTCAGTACCAGGACCTAAGGGAGAGGGTTTTCGTCAACTTATGCGCCATCTTCCCACCAGATTTGGTGAGGAAGGTGATGGCCAAAAACCCTCACATGACGGATGCTCAAGAGCTTGCAGCCTCAATTTTGATGGAGAAATTGCAGCATGTTTCTTAAAACTGTTCAGGTTTGTTTCTTAAAATCAAGTCAGCAATGAAAGGCTGCAATAGCTTTGGGGAAGCTGTTCATCTAATGGTATCTTTGCAAATAGAAGTCCTAAAACGACCATATCTTTGAATAAATGCGTCTTTTATTTCAGCACTTAAAACGGGAAACGTTTGGGATTAAAACGGTTTTTATAATAGTTCATGATGGGCAGCTTATGGGGACCTTTGAATGGGGATATTTCTTCGTATTTATTTGTTTTATTTATATATTTTTGAAATTCAGTTTTTGGCACTTTCTGTTATTGTGTGTCTTATTTTTGTCTTAGCTTTTTCTATAGGGGCAATCACATCACGTCTCTCTTGAGCCGTCAACACAGCCTGCGCAAAATAATATATTTATTTCTCTTATCTTTCTTGTTTGCTTTGGAAACACAGTTCCAATGCAAAAAATCGTCTTTCAGCTTCAGCCGATGCAGCTCGTCAGCCTGCGCCGACAGGTGCCACATCGGTTGTTGTGAGATGTTGTGGATTTCCCCCCGCAGGGAAGTGAAACTGTAATGGCACCCACAAAAGATAGCAAAAACTCCACTTGAAAACCCCAAGCTGTTTTTCTCACCACTGAGAAAAAGCCATTTCCTCTGCTCCGACTCCCCTGTCGACTCACTTCCTACTTCATCACGTCTTAGCACAGATTTTGTTTTCCTAAAACCACAAAACATCCTCCCTCTTTTCTTCACAGCAGAAGAATGAACCGTTTCAAAGAGTAGGCCAAAATGTTCACACTGGATCAAGATTTTTTTTATTATTATTGTTATTTAAGATATGTTAATTTATTGCCTTTTACTCAACGAAAACACAAGGACTGTCTGTTTAATCTACCAGAGAGGTGGAATAGCTTCTAACCATCTGACAACTTTCAGTATCGACTGTGTGAAGAAAACCTGCAGATGATTTGACCAGACAAGCAGCTTCCAGACAATGGAAGCCAACAGTCGCAGTGGTTTGGTTTTGCATATCATGACATGAAAATCATTTGGCTCACCAGGTTTTATGATTACTTCAATCTGACCTCCAGGGCAAAAACCACACAACAGACTCAGGCTACTTCGACTTCCAGAGATGAAGTAGAAAAGCCGAGCTCAAAAGAAACAAAGTGAAAACGATTGAAAAGCTTTTAGGATCATTTTACTCAGCAACAGAAAAAAATTGCAGCCGTTTTCCATGAGGCTGTTCCAGTGATATTTGTTGTTTTGAAGGCATTTAGACACAAATTTTCTTCATAACAGATTCAGTTCGTTGAAACTTGGCCCACTGAGGTTCCACCACGGCGTTTCAGTCTGCAACTTTTTCAGCGATTCCGTTGTAATTTCCAACTTTTGGGGGATAATTGTATTGATGTCTACAAGTACATTTATTTTTTATTTTTTATTTTTTTTTTTTTGTGCAAACTTGTGTGACATCTTTCCTTTAAACCTTAGAAATGAAAGAGGGAATACTGGTCACCATACGTTTGAGCTCTACACAATTATATTGGAAACAATAATTTCATATATATATATATAAGAATATATATATATATATATATATATATATATTCTTACAACACCATTTATAAAACAATAATGATGACATTGTTTTTATTTTTCTAAATGTTCTGCTGTTTAATTCATTATACTGTCATTAATTAATTAATTGTATTAATCCTGTCAACCTTCCTTGATTCTACAGTTAAGCCCAAAATTATTCATCACTCCGACAGGTACTGACTCAAAATTAACAAAGTTTTTATTTAAAAAAACAACAACAAAAAAAACAAAACAAAAAACAGTCCAAGTCTATTTTTTCTACTTTTTAAGATTTTTCTACTTTTACTTGCATTCTATTAAGAAATTGCATGCAAAGTTATTTATACCCCGTCTTAAAAACGTCTGTCTTTGTTGGCATTACAGCAAAACAAATGATGAATCACTGTGAAGAATTTAGTCTTCGAGATGAGAAGGCCTCCTCAACTTCATCCTAAACATTCAAATTATCACGTCCACTAGAAGACAGACACGTCGGTCGGAGTAAATCCAAATCTGCGTTGGGTTTGAATTTTTTGGGCTCAACTGGAACTGGTGTGAAAACAACACAGTGGCTCCCAGTCTCCTCCTAAGTGTTGCATACGCTTCCTCTGTTGCCATCGTTGAGTGGCCTGTTTGTTTGTCTTAAAATTGTATGATGTAACTTAAAACTGGAATTGTTCAAAGTAATATTATTCGGGTTTATGTATCCAGAAGTTGGGTTACTTTAATTCTTGAGGAACTTTCTGGAAGAACTCATGCCTGCTCGGCATAATTTATAGTAGCTGAATGAAACCTCTCTTTGTTGATACAAATTGTATCCTTAAATCTTTTAAAACAAAGTCATTGTTTTATACAAAAGTGTTTGAACAAAAGGGTTTCGAGCTGAATATTTTAGATGGGGTGGCCGACGTTTGCCACCTGCAGCACCGAGGCTCTTATTGGAGAAGGATTTTTACTCCTTCCTTTTCTCTTGCGACTTCACGGTAGTGCAAGAAATGTTCTTTTGGGAGCAGATTGTTATACGATGTAGTTTGAAATAAAGAAATGATCTCTACTGCAAGAGTTGGCGTAAGTTGTTCACAGAGCCGTTTTATTCTCCCTCGTCATATCGAGGTTACCTGAAGCACTGCTAAGTCAGGGCAGAGCAGGTCTAAACTCATACGGCTAAATCAATATTTTTGAGAAGATGTGATTATCAACGGGTTTTGAAAATGTCATTAGTAGGACCTGGAATCTGTTGAAAACATGATCGTCCAACACTCCTGCAAAGTCGAACCCCTAACGGGCCACGTCACCGACTGAACAAAGGTGTTAGCAAAGCATCACAAGTTGCTCCACTAAGGCGCATCCTCTAATTAGCATTACAGATGTCTTCAAGTTTGTATGTTTTTATTACTTTTGTCCATTTCAAGTCACTTCACGGACCATTGAGGGGTACCAACAATTTTTTCCCAACTATCTGTCTATAGTTTAAAATATGCTCCAATGCTGGATCCTGAGGCTCCAAAGGGTTTTTCTGTGCTTACAGGTAGGTCATAATAACGATCAATGACGCTGGATAAAAATGGCGGTTTTACAGATTATACAAAAACAAAATAAAAGGAATGGAAAAAACTATATTAAATTAGCGAATGTTGCAATTGTAAAATGTCTGCAGCAACCCCAAAAATGACTGGTTTAAAAAAACAGAAGAAAAAAAGAAAAGTCAACTTTTTCTGAAGTTCTAGTGCTAAAGGTTGGTTCATTTCACTTGCACAGTGGCTGCATTTGCTTTTGTCTTTGAAAAAATATATAGAGTATTTAACTCCACATATGAGATAATTAATATGAGAGATTTGATATGAACATGAATTCATGTGACTTAACCGAGACCAATAAAGACCTGATGGCACTTCAATATGTTCACGAACTTTTCACATTGCTGAGATTTTAAACCATTTTTAATAACATTTTTCTAGGCTTTTTTTTTTAAGTAGCACAATTTTAACCAAATCTATATTTAAAAAAAAAAAGAAAAATGATTTGAGTTTGAAGAAATGGATTCGGAAGATTTCTTTGCTGCGGCTGGCATTATTAAACATCTAAAATCATACATAACCAATAATTATTTTCTCACTTTATTAAAAAAAAAAATTACAATGCACTATATCCGTCATATTTGACCAGTATGCAAATTAATAATAGATAACATAAAAGACAAACTGGCTTAAAGCAGCTACTCCAGGCTTATCTCTTTGACTTTTCATCAATACTGTGCACCAGAACCGGGTCGTGCTTTCACTCTCCCCAAACAAACAAAGACAAAAAAAAATAAATCAGCTCCATGAACTTCTGTTGAGGACTAAACTCCTGCTGCATATTTGGAAATATAAAGTTATTCTTTATTATAATGGGGCAAAAATACATATTTGAACAAAAGTCTCTTTGGACGTAGAGAAATGAAAAACGAGCAGATCTGGGTGGCAAACTCTTATTTTCCGAACGCGTTAACGCAACAATGGCAGACAGGCGACTGTCCGCGAAGAACCTGGAATCTGAAACCGGAAAAGAAACGGTCAAATAAGGCAATTAAAGAAACAAAGAAAAGAAATCCAAGTTATGTTAAAGACGAAAGAAGTAAAAGCACATAATTAAAGCGTACCACCGTCGTCAGCGAGCTACAGCTACAAATGGCCTTTTTCTCTTTTTGTTTTAGTTTACTTAGTAAAAACACATCCATTCTCAGTCCAGTCTCAAGTTTTACCAGGGCGGAGTCTTGCAATTAAGTTACGACACATGCAAGCGTTAAAATAACCAGCGATGTGCAAGAGGAGGACATCTGCTGATTGACATTTTTTTTTTTTTTTTTTTCTCAGCTGAATAAAAAAAAAAAAGGAGAAAAAAAAGTGCTTTGTTAGGTTGAGGGCGGAGCCCCTCGCAGCAGACAGGAGTGCAATGGGCCAGCTGCCTGCAGGCAGAGCTTTAATGAGGCTGAACTCGCGAGAAAGCCACGCAGCTGCCGCTTTTCCTCCTGGGTCGAAACGAGCAAAGAGAAGAAACAAAAAAAGAAAACGGGAAAAAGAAAAGATCCCGGAGCGGCAAGAGCAGGCTTTTGGGCCTTGAAACGAGTAAAGTGAGGCGTTGACATGGCAATGAGACCGACCGTCGCGCTGTGTTCACATGGACTCGAACTCGTCGATGCGCTGCTTGGTGTTGCCCTGGCGGATCTGGCGCAGCGTCTTGTACTTGTCTCTGCCCGCCCGGACGTTCTCGGCGTGCAGCATGTCGTTCTGGGTCTTCTTGGTGTCGTCCCGGGCCTCCGCCAACTCTGAGCTCAGAGCCTGGAGGGAGGGAAGGAGGGACACACTGTCTCACAATCCATCACAGACATGAACCGGCCAATTTCAAACTCAGAGAAATAAACCAAAAGCAGACAGACAGACAGAGAGACAGAGAGACAGACAGCATCACAGACGAGTAACGCGTTTAGATGTGTTGGGTTTGCTTCCAATTCAATGAAGCTTTGACATTTTCTAGAGATGCGACTCGACTGGCGAATGCAAATTAGACCAGACAGCTCTAACACTCTTCAGAGTGGAAGTTTTTATTGCATGAAGACGTGGTGTTTTTTTTTTTTTTTTTTTGCATCAGCAAAGTTTTTAAAAATTAAGTCAAAGGAAGCGCACCGCGTTCAAGGCGTAAATTTAATTTTCCATCCTTCAAGTCAGACTTTTATGTTTTGTCTCACTCACATTTTTTCAAACTAGAAA